ATAATGTGGATAAATTAAACCTGATCACCAACAGATAATCTGGATAAATTAAACCTGATCTGTGGAACAAACAAAGCAGCGTCAGTTACAGAAATCTTTAACAATGAAACGGAACTTCGTACATTTTAATTTTCAGCTTCTGAAACTAAAACCTGAAACACTAAAGCAGGAACTCACCGTCTGATTGTTATTATTGTTATTGATTTATTATTTACTCCATAGAACCTGTCCGACTGATTGATTAGAACAGCTACTGATTGGTCCTCTGATGATCAATCATTGGCTCATTATCAATCAAACTTTATTCATACAGGACCAAACACACGAAGTACAAACCGGAAGTTCTGACAAAACTTTCTGGCTGATTTTTAAGACTTTCGTGTTCTTCACGGCGGATAAATTAAACCCAGAGTTTCAGTGTCCGACAGGTGCTCCTGATGCTAAGCTAACGGTCACATGAGAGACTCTATAAAGGAGCAAATTGTCTTTGACACTGCGGTCACCCTGATGTTAGCAGTTAGCCGCTAGCTGTTAGCCGCTAGCTGTCCGGTCAGTGTCTCTGACCCGGACCGACTCTGTGGGAAACCCGCCGCCGGTTCCCGCCTCTTGCGGCCGGCTCGGAGCTCACCTGGCCCCCTTGCTGGCCGCGGACGTCTGGCAGAGGTGCACGCGGATCTCTCGGAGGTTTTTTCCCAGACTGGAGCCCAGACTTCTCACCGCGGCGGCCGCCATCTTAGCTTCGGGTTTCTGAAGGACACGGCGGGGCTTCAGCCCAGAGTTTGTCCTGTCAGGCAGCGCGCTGTGTTAATTCACCCTGAGTGCGTCCTCACAGGAGCAGACAGCCTGAATATGATATTAAATACACAGAGCTTTACAAATGTATTAGACCACCGGCCATGAGAAGGAGAAAACAGAAATATTGTAGAAATCTTCCAAAAGCGTGTTCAAAACTAAAAATGTTGTTTATTTGGGAAACAACAAAGTGAAACTGCTAAATAGTCCTTTTTTCACACATAATAACCCAAAAACTTCAGATCTTCTACAGCCTCCTTCGGCCTTGACAACAGCTTGTTTTCCTGCTGCCACTGTTTTATGAACTCTTCGACAGTCTGGTGCTACTGAGCTCCAGATAGTTTCCAGATGTTCCCACAGACTCGCTTTAGATTAAACTTTTGTGAGATCAATCTTTGAATGTACGACGTCCCAAATGTGTTCAATAGGATTCTAATCCAGATTTTGACTGGGCTGGTCCATCAGTTCCAGAACTCTAGATTCCTTTTTCTTGGTCAGATGGTCTCTGCACAGCTCTGAAGTCTGCTGGGCTCAGGTT